CTCTCTCTCTCTCTCTCTCTCTCTCTCTCTCTCTCTCTCTCTCACACACGCGCCCGCGCTTTTGTTTTTTTTTTTTTTTTTTTTTTTTTTTTTGTCTCATGCTGCAACGACAATGAAGACGACAAGGAAGATGCCATTGACAAGCAAGACGGTGCTGTGAATAGGGGGTGGGAGAGGGGGGGAAGGGGGGAGGGGGGAACGGAGAACAAGAAAGAAAGAAAGAAAGAAAGAAAGAAAGAAAGAAAGAAAGAAAGACGGCACAGAATGCGTTTCACGAGGTATTTGCGAGGAAGATGGCGTTAACGTGATGGCAGTTCATGTGGTCCCGGAGGCAGTTATTGTTCATCTCCTCTTTTCTCTCTCCCGTTTTCGCCATCCTCCTCGCAAATACCATCACGTTAACGCCTTTTCACGGCTTTCAGGAGAGATGACGAGTGTCACGAGACGAACATGAGAGAGAATATTGTAAGCCGTGAAAAGGAAGAAGAGGGCGCAGCGAAAGCGAGACACGTGACTAAACATACAGTATATCTACCTTCTTCCCCCGAATTAACGGTACGGTCATTATAGCTGTATTTGAGGCATCTTTCAGTCTAGATACAGCTAAAATGACCGTACGTTGTATTCGGGGGAAGAAGGTAATCGGACATGAAATCTGGCCGTGCCCAGCCGATGCTAACGATGCCTTCCCAGACCCTGGAAGAATAGGCACCGACACCGTCGAGACGTCAGGGATAATCTTTCAAGCTCTCCATTGAGTCTCCGGTGACCTCCGTTGACCTTTGCACTTCTCTCTACTGAACTCTGGCTTCCCTCTTGTTAACCCCGTTCCTTCGCCTCACCCCGATCGGTCTCCTTAGGCCCCGATCCCTCCTCTTGCTATCAATCCCGATCGGGTTCCTCTAGTTCATCCCGATACTACTCCGCTTCTCCCTCTCAGACTTTACCTGATCCGACCTGAACCAACGAGACGTTGATTCTCCAATCCAAATTGCTCTTCTCAAAATCGCTCCTGGACAATGTGCATCGAGAAGACAAAGAAAAAAGAAAAAAAGACAAGATCCAGAAAAAAAACGTTTGATGGGGAGGGCATCGCGGCAAACTCGCACACTACTCTTTCCAGTCTGAAAATTGTGCGCGCCAGCGAGTGCGCTAACAAGGAAATGGGGGGGTGTCGTGAGAACCGGCCAATCGGGCGAAGGGAGAACAAATTCAGTGACAACTTCACATACCTGTGGCATCACCTCCAGCGCCGTCTTTTCCTTCCTTGATGACATGTAGCGCAAGCGACCTTCTTTTCCAACTCAGTAGAAAACAGATATCTCATTATTGTCTAGGTAGTGAAGCAAAAGACAGAAACGGAAATCTCAACCACAAATACATACATAAAGAAAGAAAGAAAGAAAGAAAGAAAGAAAGAAAGAAAAAAAACGAAAATGCAATGGATTTAACCACGGCTTCCGACTATAGCAATGGAGGTCATCACGTCCAACCCAAAAGAAACGAGACACGGACAAGAAATATAATTCCACTCACATGTATGATGAATCCCCCTGTGCCTCGTAGACGGACATCCTACCTGATGAAAGCGGAGGACCAAAGATAACTTTTTTTACACGTTTTTTTTTACTTAGCCATGGACCACGACTCCGATATTAAACTGATCACCTCTCTGATTAAACTGATCACCTTTCTGAACCAAAAGGAAGATTTCTCTCTTGACTTCTCCTCTCTTTTTTTTTGGAGGGGGGGAATCATCTCGCAAAAAAGAGAGAAGAGAAGTCAAGAGAGAAATCTTCCTGAAAACAGAGACAAATTAAAGAGAATGACGCATTCATTAGCGAGATGATTCCTCCCCCCCCCTCCCCCCCAGCTAAAAACAGAAAAAGAAAAAGAAATGGAAAAAAAGAAGACATGAATAACTATACACAAACTCGAGGGTTGAAACATTGGGGAAAGGAATAAGGGAATTCGCCCTCTACCTACGAAAGAGAAGATCATGAAACAAACAAAGAAAAACAAAAGGGAAGCAGCAAGAGTGTATCCATTGCAATTAAGAAAAATATACCAGCACCTTACAAACACTTCCTCATCATTTGGCAACCAGACTCGAGCCGACAGGAAAAATGCAGAAAAGGAAAACGAACCATGTGAGGACAACTAGTCATGAACTGAAATTTCCTAACGAATCGACAGAAGAAAAAAACGGGAGGGAAAAAAAACCGAAAACAAAAGAACAGAAAATGAGCGAAGGAGGAGAATCGCCAGTCGATATGCGCCCAGAAGGGGAATGGACAAACACAAACACGCATATCAGTCCTGACCAGCTAATATGGAAATATGAGTATAAATATATATATATATATAACGGGCCGAGATCAGACGAGAGCACGTACTTTACAGAGCTGCGTTGACCGTCTGTTCAACACGCGCACGCGCGCGCGCGCGCTCACACACAATCTCCTTCACCTTCCTTCTCCCCGTCAGCCATCACTTTCTCTTCACCTCTCCAGCCAAGTCCATACCACACACGCCTATAATGACTTAGAGGTTGTCCTTCATTCCTGTTCGTCTCTTCGGATTTCCGCATTGCACTGTCCGAATCAACCAGTCGAGCCCTCGCTGAGGCTTTCCTCGCCCTTCTCACATGGAAGTCGAAGCCACTACTCGCTGCTCCCCACAGCCCTAGTCTCTCTGCGCACGGACACACAAACTTATCTTCCCTGTGGATGTCGTGCCTTTGTGCTTTGCATATTATAACCGTTAGTTAATTTCGTTCGTTGTAAGCATTAGAATGCGAACCAATGCGCAAAGAGACAGACACAGAGAGAGAGAGAGAGAGAGAGAGAGAGAGAGAGAGAGAGAGAGAGAGAGAGAGAGAGAGAGAGAGAGAGAGAGAGAGTCGCACGAGGTAGGGAGGGAGGGAGGATACGAAGTGGAATACATTTGGCAAGTGAAGACTACGTTCACCATAGAGGAAAGAATATCACCTTCAGCTTTTTGAAAGAGGCGAAATGGATGAAGATGTAGATGAAGAAAGGACGGGAGGAGCAGCAGTAGTAGTCTTAGATACTGTAGTAGTAGTGGGAGGAGGAGGAGGAGGAGGAGGAGGAGGAGGAGGAGGGGGAGACGAAGAGGGAGCAGGGGGAGAAGAAGCAGAGGCAGGAGGGCCAGGAGGAGAAGCAGAGGGAGAAGGAGGAGAACAAGGATCGGTGGGAGAAGGATGAGGAGGCGGAGAAGGGGGAGGCTGAGAGCGAAGGGCGGAAGAAGTAGGGACGGTTGAAGGTGGACGACAGGGAGAGATTGACTCGCCAGCGTTGGCCTCAGCAGTGCCAGTGATATCACTCATACATCGCCGATGAGCATTCCATGGCTGCGGTGGCGGATTCAACCGGGGCGGTGAGGGCGCCATGGTCCCTTGAGACGTCCCCACAGGTCTATCGTCATCCCCGGTGGTGTGAGGTGGAGTTGATTTGCCAGCCAGCCTCTCTTTCAATGCTGCCCTTAAGAAACTGGTCCTAGTTCCACTACCGCCCATTCCTCCTCCCACGCCGAAGCGGCTCGTTCGCGAAAATGCAGACACAGCCGGCGTGGTTGGCGTCACTGGCGCAGAATGAGAACGGGCAACACCGTCATCATACCCCACTCCTCCTCCTCCTCCCTCTCCGTCTCCTCCTCCCGCTTCCATCGACGATACTGACTGCGGTATCGGCATGGCTCCCACTCCTGCCACCTTTGCCACAGCCCCCAACGGACTATTCAGGATAACATCCCTCATGTCCTTCATGAAGGAAGCCTTGGCGCTTCCTTTTTTATCGTGCACGAAGACGTGCGGAGCCAGCGCAATCTGGGTCAGCTTGATCTCATGGCCGACTTCTCTCTCAATGTCACTCAGCGCGTTCGCTATCACCAACTTTCGGAACACCTTCTTGCTCAAGAACGGCCTGATTATGTTGAAAATCACAGTGAACCACATCGTGGGGTGGATGAACAGGACACGCTGCACGTTCTTCTTGTACGGGCGCGGCAGGTTGTGGTACACTTTAAGACACCACCAGGCTGGGACGGTCGTCGGCGGGGTCTTGTGCTGGTTCTTGGGGGTCATCACGAACACCAGAACATAGGGTTCCTCGACCAGCGCGTCCATTCTCTCTCTGATGAGAGCAACCGCGGCGAACCGTAGCCTTGGCGGGGGAATGAAACTCGCGTCGATCACGACGACCGGTCGGCCCAACGAGTCCTTCCTGTCGACGTTAACGAGCCCGGTTAAGGTGATGGTGACTTCGGTGTTGACTCGGTCGTACCCGTGAGGGCGATAAACCTGCATCCGACGGGAGCGTTCTTCGGCATCCTTGGCGGCATCCTCGCTGCTGTAGCCTCTGTACCTCTCGCCGCGTCCCAGGCTGAGACTCCTCGACAAGGGCCCTACATTCGCAGGACTGCTGCCAGGCATGGATGGAGACGCGCAGGGAGGAGAAGCCCAACCGTTCTCTTTCTTCAGCTCGGCTAGGGAAGAAATTGACTTGCGCCACATTTGCCTGGTAGCTGCGGCCTCCGCACCCATCCTGCCTGCGGCATCCTCGAACTCAAACCCCCCATCGTCTGCAACACCCTCTCCCTCCTGCCCCCCTCCTCCTCTTCCTCCTCCTCCTGCTCCTTTCCTCTCCATCAAACCGGATCCTGTCTCTCCCATGGCTGTCGCCGCTGCCATCTTCAGAATCATTTCCGCGAGTCTGGGTGTGTGTTGAGCTCCCAGCTCCATCTCCAGCAACCCCTCCATTCCTTGGAGCATTTGCCACTCCATCAAACTACTCGGAGACATACCCAGTCCCCCTACCCCTCCTCCTCCTCCTCCTCCTTCTCCTCCTCCTCCGGCTTCGCCTCGGCAGTAAAAGCTTGAAAACGACGATGGGTGGTGACTGCGCATTAATCCGACGCTCTGCGGGCTGATTCCCGCTTCCATTGCCGATCTACTCCTGCTAGTGCTTTCGTCGCCTTCACCCAAACTACCAACTACCCCTCGCTCCCCTTCTTCATTTCTCCCCCCTACCCCTCCTGATGGCGTGACTGTGCTGGAGAATGCCCTGCCCATGACAGCCGTCGATGATTCCGACGATGACGGTGTCTCGAACAACCTGCTTCCCAGCCCCGTTGAAATCGACGGCGGTGGAGGTACGACGATACCGATGTCCAACCCTGCCCGCTTGATGCGACTGCTCTCTCTCAGTTCCCCAAGCTTCAGGCTCAGCTTCGCCCGATCCCCATGCTTCTCGAGCCTGTGCCTCACCTCCTCTATAGCCGACCGAGAGGAATCCCGACTCAGAACGCGATCGCGGTCGATGCCATATCTCCGATCAGACGGGTGACTCGACAACCCATCTCCAACTGTTCCGCCTCCCTCAACTCCATCAGATGCTGCTGCAGCAGCAGCTGATGACGATGATGACGATGATGTTGATGATGATAGCGATGATAAGGATGACGATGCTAATGGTGATGATGATGATCCGATATGCGTAATCGTCGTCGTGTCTTTGCGGCTCCCGTTAGCATCGCCTCTGGCGCCGTCACGTGCACTTTCAGCATGGCGCAGTTTGTGCACAAGACCATACTTCGCGGCAAGCCTTCCCATCGGGCCATCCAAGTTTGAAAGAACTCCTGCCTCCCCTACTCCTCTGCCTCCTAGTACTCTTCCCCCTGCTTCCGCCGCTGGTGATGCTGCTGTTGCTGCCCCTCCGCTACCAGACGAATTATCCCCATTTCTCGATGAGCGTGAAAAGCCCTCCATGACCGGCGATAGAAAATCAATGGCGATCGGGAACGTCCAGCAGGACACGGAGAAAAGATAGAGAAAGCCCCTAGACAAGGTCTCTCTCTCTCTCTCTCTCTCTCTCTCTCTCTCTCTCTCTCTCTCTCTCTCTC